TCTTAACATGGCTGCGCGGTCCGTTGAGCGGCGAAGAGAGTGACCTAACCTAGCCTATCCTGACCCCCTCCCCCCTCTCCCCCCCAAAAAAAAGGATATAGTCAAAAGGGAATCCGGCTTCCTTTTTTTATTTGCAGAAAAAAGGTTATAATAGAATTATACATTTGGTAACAATCTTCCCCTCTGGACCTGCACTGTTTTTTTTTTTTTTTTAAATCTTATGTAATTGAGACTCGGAGAAATATCTGATGGTCACTCCCTATAGTACAGCGTCTGCGAATTCGATGTGAGAAAGATTCAATATGTGTTCAAAATGTATTCAATTTTGTACATCATGATGAAGATTCTCTTGAATTCCCTTCGGTTGAGTGACCACTTCTAACATTACCAATTTCTGTGTGTGTGTGTGTGTGTGTGTGTGTGTGTGTGTGTGTGTGTGTGTGTGTGTGTGTGTGTGTGTGTGTCTGACACAGACACAAACCCCTCACATACACACTCAAGGTCCCTTGGATTAAAGACTATTCTCAAAGTAATATTCTGGATGACTCGACAAATATTTGACCAGTACGATGACGTCACAGGCAAGACGATATCCAACGCATTTGATTTATTTAACGAAACCTTTAGATAAGTTTTGAAACTTATACACACTTGAATTTCGAATAGGTATAATGCATTTGTTTATTATTATAAGCAGTATTTTGATATTAATTACTGGTACTGATAATTACCGTTATCAGTGTTTGATGGTTACTTGTTTACGTAGCGTTTGCCTGTTACGGTATCAGGGCCTTATCAGTGAATATCAAATCCCGCTGACATAATATTCCTTTTATTAAGAAAGTACAAAATTTAATTGTCATAATCCTGGCTTATGAAATTTCTATTTCTCTCTCTCTCTCTCTCTCTCTCTCTCTCTCTCTCTCTCTCTCTCTCTCTCTCTCTCTCTCTCTCTCTCTCTCTCTCTTTAAGATTGTTTGTCGTCTGGACGTAATAAATTTATCAAATCAAATCTCTCTCTCTCGCTCTCTCTCTCTCTCTCTCTCTCTCTCTCTCTCTCTCTCTCTCTCTCTCTCTCTCTCTCTCTCTCTCTCTCTCTCTCTCTAAAATTGTTTGTCGTCTGGGCGTAATAAATTTATCAAATCAAATCTCCCTCTCTCTCTCTTTCTCTCTCTCTCTCTCTCTCTCTCTCTCTCTCTCTCTCTCTCTCTCTCTCTCTCTCTCTCACACACACACACACACACACACACACACACACACACACACACACACACACACACACACACACACACACACACAAACAGCAATCACACAGGTCTCTCTCTCCTCCGCCGAGATACCACCCCATTACTCCATTTGTTGCTTTCATGCACGCCATCACTCAAGCGCCACAGATACCTCTTATCACCCAGCTTCTCTCTCCCTGTCACTTCCCAACGCCCCCGACACGCCCCCTTATCACCCCGCGGGCGTCTTTCATTTCCCAAAGGCACTTCCAGTCACACCTCCCAAGCACACGCAGGCAGAGGCAAGCATGAGGTCGAGGCGGAGGACCACACCTGCTCATTTATAAGATCGTTAGCCTGCTCCGAGCTTTCTACCTGACGTAATTGCTGTAAATGATCGTGGAAGCCATTATTTATAGTTCGGGGGTGCGCATAGACGTGGGAGAAAGCGAGGGGAAGGTAAAGAACAAATATTTAATTAAAAAAAAAAAAATATATATATATATAAGTAAATAGGTGAGTGAATAAACAGCTTGATTATTAGATATTTTAGTTGGTTGCCTATTTATTCCTTTAATTACTTACAGAAACAAGATACAGATCAAGAGAAATAATAGAGTACATAAATTAATAGATGAATTGATAAATAAATATTTTATTTATCTACTAATTCCTTTATTTACTTGAATAAATCAATGAATAATCGAAGAAACGGTTAGGCCAGAAGGGATACCGAGAAACAAATGACGAGCGGCGTGCGTGCGTCCAGTGACCATGTGTCGACAAGGCGCGGCTTCGAGAACTTAAATTATTCATCTACACAACAGCCCATTTGTCACTTGTAAATAGGAGCTTTCATCTGCGGGAATCTGTTTACTAATGGCTCATGGGCCTGCGTAAGAAGGCATGTTACTGAAATAGACGTCGATGGCCCTCTGAAGGTTTTCCATAAATCTTGACTTGATTTGCATATCTTCTCGACTGGAGGATTTGGCGGAGTCCTCTCTCGCTCTCTCGTCTCGTCATTAATCATTCTCTTGAGAAGTGGTGTTCATATATATATATAAAGTATATGATATTGGTAGTCTTAGAAGAAGGAAAAAATCCGCGGGTATTCAAAAGAAACATACGTATTATGGTGCACAATACGGCATTACAGTCAGGTGGGATAAATCACTGTCAAGATGTTTTTGCTGACGTGCATATTTGTAATCCTTCCGTCAAATAATGGAACGTAACAAAGAAGGGGAGAGAGGGAGAGATAGAGATGAGGGGAGGAGAGACGAGGCGAGACGAGATGAGAATAGACGAGACGAGAAAAGACGACACGAGACATGACGAGACGAGAATAGACGAGAAGAGACGAGAAAGGACGAGACGAGAATGAGAAGAGAAGAGACGAGACGAGAATGAGAAGAGAAGAGAAGAGAAGACAAGACTAGACAAGGAAAGAGAAGAGGCTGATAGATAGATTGATAGATAGTTTGATAGATAGATAGACAGAAAGACAGACATTGAGCCAGAGAAAGAGAGAAAAAAAGAAAAAGAAAAAAAAACAAAGAAAAAATAATCATAATAAGAAAAAAACAACTTTATTCCCTCCCGCCTCTGTTCACCTGTCAGTCTGCCGTGCCTCGCGTGATAAGCCAGGCTTCCCTTGAATAGCTTACCTCGATCCCGCCTGGCTTGGAGAGGACAGCGGTGATGGACATCTGTTTTCGTCATATTTTTTTTCTTTTTTCTTTTCTTTTTTTTATGAGAAGCGGGCGATTTTTGTTGGTGTTATGAGATGTTTTTTTTTATGTTGTCGATAGGATAGATAGTGCGGTGTAATAACAAATGGTATTTCTTGTTATGAGGCGTGGGTAATTATATACATATATGTGTGTGTGTGTGTGTGTGTGTGTGTGTGTGTGTGTGTGTGTGTGTGTGTGTGTGTGTGTGTGTATGTGTGTGTGTGTGTATGTGTGTGTGTTTGTTTGTTTGTTTGTTGGTTTGTTTGCGTTTGTGTGTGTGTGTATGTGTGTGTGTGTGTATGTATGTATGTTTGTGTGTATGCACGTGTTACAAGCAGCACGTAAGGATGTATCTGGAGACGGCAAAGGCGACAGATCCCGCGAGAGGGCGGGGTCATTGTGTAAGACAGAGAGGATTATGAAGAAGCTGTCAGTCAAGGTCGGCGTGAGATAACAGGCACCGAACCCAAATACTCCCCGCTTTATTGGGCCGAACAAACAACATAAATATTTTGATTAGATGTCCAAATTTTGAGACGCGACAGGAGCCGACAGCGCCGACCCGAGGCAAGAAGGCAGACGAGAGTGACATGCGAGTATAATGCCTTGTCGCTGACGCATCTCTTACGGAATTCTGACAAGGTCCGTTTTTCTGTATTAATGTACTTTGCATGCACAGAAAAGAAAAAAAAAAGAAAGAAAAAGGATTATCACGGGATCGCAGGAGGTAATAACCTAAAATTAAGAAAAATAAAATAAAATGGCGTGACATAGCCCTTTATATGGTGTTAGTGATGTTTTTTTTCTGTTAAGGAAAATTCATCAGGAGGCCAACAAGTGTCATTCATTCAACATTAAAGAAAATTTTATATTCATTATACTTTTGCTCGAATATTTATTAACTAAAGATCGTTGAAATCAATAATAACAATCGAAAAAAAACAACAACAACTTAAGGAAATTGGAGAAGAGAACAAAACCGAAAAACAACCAATTTTCCAAGCCTCTTCCCCCAACGGAATGCCGGAGAGAGAGAGAGCGCGAAGGAACGACAAACACTCGAACAGGCAACAAGTGGCGACCGGCGGGGCATCCCTCGCCAAGAGCCCGTGTTTAAAGGCCCGAAAAAGGTGGTGAAACCGTCGTAAATCCCGGGGGTCGACGGCTCCCTCGCGGTCCCGCCTGTCGTGGCCGCGGGCGACGCCGCTCGGCTTGCGTGCGCCCGCGGAACGACGACTGCGCGGGCGGCGTCGGCTCCTGGTGGGGATACTGGTTTCCGTGTCGCTTGAGTGATGTTTGCGGAGCTTATCAGTTCTCTTGCTTTGCAATTTGTTTTTGCTTTTCTGTATATGTGTGTGTGTGTGTGTGTGTGTGTGTGTGTGTGTGTGTGTGTGTGTGTGTGTGTGTGTGTGTTTGTATGTAAGTAATATATAATATAATAATATAATACGATATAATTTAATATGAAATAATACAACATAATATAATATAACACGCACACACACTTCCATTCTTTCCTTTTCCCGCTGCTTTATCACTCTGCCCTTTGGAGTTCCTTTGTCCTTTCGATGACAAGCGATTTTTAGTCCAGACATCTTATCTCCTGAGTGTAACTTTCGAGGATCAATAAAGACATATCTTCATTTTTGCACCCAATTGCAATTTAATGGTTGATTATGTGACAAAAGGTCAATGGAATATCGAGTTAATTCTAGATTGAAGGAAAATCAAAAACATGTCCTTATTTATGGAATCATCCTTTTTTTTTGTAAATATTGTATCAAAATGGAAAAAAAAAATGGGTACAGGAAATTATTAATTTCAGCGTATAGTCCCTGCCCCCCCACCCTCCAAAAAAAAAGAAAGAATAAATATTATAAAGAAATGAGGACCTAATCGTTCAATTCCCGGCCATTCCTTGCGCAATTGAGATCGATTTAGTAGCACAATAAACAGACGCAAGAGCCTGTCATGCCACACATAAGAAATAACGTTTGTAACACATAGAATAAACTAATTTATTCTCTCTCTCCCGCAGACATCGCGTCGTGAAGGAGGTATCGTCGGCGCGGAACTTGGTGGCAGGCAGCATGGAGCAGGTGCGGGCAGGTGAGCACGCCCTCGCCGCCCTCGCCTCGATGCACGCCCATTCCTCGCCCATCGGCAGTACAAGGTAGGGTTGTTTGGACATTCTGATTGCTTTATGGTCCTTGTATTATCATGATTTAATTGGATTTGTGCTTAAGTGGGTGTTTGTTGCTATCAACATTTTATTTATTTATTTTTGGTGGCTTTAGAAAAAATGTGTTTTACTCTTTTAGTTGGAAGTTATATTACAATGTGTTGTGATTTGAGATATTAAGAGCATGACGATTCTACACTAACGGATTTTCCAAACCACTCGACGTTTCTTGAAAACTCGAATAGAAAGGTACTTGTGACTGAATGCGCCATGACCACTCGTACAAACAAGAACCAGGAGTCAGGAATATATTAATAAAACATCCATTTTTGTGCCAGTTTTGGGATCTAGTCAGGGGCGGCAAGATAGACATTGTAGCCTAAAGGGTAAACAAACTATATACGTAAGTTGTAAAAATGTATGAACGGAGGAGAATACTTTCAAAAGGAAGCATCTCGTACCTTTCTCGGAATGACGGAACGAAGTCGATCGTGTCGGAAAGTCGATTACGAACGAACGATGCAATTATCCATTCTTATTTGATTTGAATTTCCTTTCTTACATTCAACAAAGCGAACTATACTTACGGACGGACTCTGCTTCCACGTCATTCAGCCTCCGACCTCGTCTCTGACCTTACATTCTCAGCCAATTGCCTGATTCACTTTTGCGTTTTGGCGACACAACTTTCTTTCGACGGCCGCCGTGACCTCAATGGGCGGCGCTTTTAATTATTTTCGCTTTGTATATTTACAAAATAAAGAAGAGGAAAATAAAATAGCGTGACATAGGCCTTTGTATAGTGTTAATGATGTTTTTTTTTCTGTTAAGGAAAATTTATCAGGCCAACAAGGCCATTCAGCATTAATGAATGTTTGATATTTAGTATAGTTTTACTCGAATATTTATTAACTAAAGATCGTAGATGAAAGTAAACTTCCTTCAGAATAATAAATTGAACAGATTGATAAATGAATAAATAAACGGATAAATATATAACTTATATGAAAATAAGTAAATACATGAATATTAGTTGATCAATATGCAAATAATTGAATAGATAAGTAAATAAAAACAAATAAACAAAAATTAAGTCCATTGACTGCCAGGAAACTGGCACAAGGCACCCATAACTTATTAATATGAAGTCTCATTACTGCCATTTTCCTCGACAAAAATAAAAGATTTCGTCAATGATTCAGTCGAGTGAGCTGAGTAAAGTGTTTAGAGCATGTAATCTTTTCATTGAGGAAAGGGATTCGAACGCGCAATCTATTCATTCAGTAAAAAGTAGAACTCGGAATATATTCGTCCAGTTGAGAGAAGAATGAATGGTCAGATTAAGCGCTTCATTCAGCGTCTAATTCATTCTTCATTCTATAGCGACGTCGCCCTTTTCGACTGAAATTGAAATTCTGATTCAACCTTTCATCAACTCGCCCCCCCCCCAAAAAAAAAAGAAAAGAAAAAAAAGTCACACAAAAAAAACGAAAAAAAAAACAGTGATAATAAGCATATTCAGATGAGCTCTTCCCAATTTCTATATAGATTTGGTCTAGTGAAAAATCCCAGTTATTTCGTTCCTGAGATGGCCGTGGGTTGTGTTGGTCCCGGTAGTGAGAGGGGGCCGTGGATGGGAGGGTGGGGGGAGGGGGAGGAGAGGCGAGAGCTGGGCAAAGGTGGGTTTTTGCAAGTGCATATTGCAAGGGCTAATGACGGGGCGGGTTGCAGAATTACAGATTGCTCGCTTTATTGCCGTTATGGGTTTTGCGTTATTTGGTATCATGAGGGGAAAGGTCTCTTATTTTGAAGTGGATATGTGTATCCACGCATACATGTGTACGTGCATGTTGTGTGTGTGTGTGTTGTGTGTGTGTGTGTGTGTGTGTTGTGTGTGTGTGTGTGGTGTGTGTGTGTGTGTGTTGTGTGTGTGTGTGTGTGTTGTGTGTGTGTGTGTTGTGTGTGTGTGTGTTGTGTGTGTGTGTGTGGTGTGTGTGTGTGTGTGTGGTGTGTGTGTGTGTGTGTGTGTGTGTGTGTGTGTTGTGTGTGTGTGTGTGTGTGTGTGTGTGTGTGTGTTGTGTGTGTGTGTGTGTTGTGTGTGTGTGTGTGTTGTGTGTGTGTGTGTGGTGTGTGTGTGTGTGTGTTGTGTGTGTGTGTGTTGTGTGTGTGTGTGTGGTGTGTGTGTGTGTGGTGTGTGTGTGTGTGGTGTGTGTGTGTGTGGTGTGTGTGTGTGTGTGTGTGGTGTGTGTGTGTGTGTTGTGTGTGTGTGTGTTGTGTGTGTGTGTGTTGTGTGTGTGTGTGTTGTGTGTGTGTGTGTTGTGTGTGTGTGTGTGTTGTGTGTGTGTGTGTTGTGTGTGTGTGTGTGGTGTGTGTGTGTGTGTTGTGTGTGTGTGTGTGTGTGTTGTGTGTGTGTGTGTGTTGTGTGTGTGTGTGTGTGTGTGTGTGTGTGTGTGTGTTGTGTGTGTGTGTGTGTGTGTGTGTTGTGTGTGTG